ATTTGAAAGTATTCTAAAGTTTAAAAAAAAGGTTATTTAAAGACTGTGTTAAGGCAAAACTGAATGTATAAACCTGCTTAAAACTCTCACTGTTGTGAGTGTGTATGTGTATTTACACTTACAAGAAAAATTCCAAATTCTTCACGTGGCCTGTAAGACCTGTGTGATCCAGTCCTGCTGGCCTTGTGCAACTCTCTCCCCTGCCCCTGCCCCAGTCTCATGGGCCCTCTCTGTCACACACCAGCCAGCTCCTTGCTGCCAAGGCAAAGCCTGCTGTCTTTGCTCTCCACCTGGCAAACTCCTCAACCTTCGATTTCAGCTCAGTGCCACTTCCTCAGGATGACATTCTGACATCATTCTGTGTTGTCTTTTGGGGTACTTGTCAATTGCGATTACATTTTTATTTTTGTGTTTTTTTTAAGAAATCCATCTATCTCACCAAACTAGGAACTGCAGAAAGGCTGTGTCTCTTGCTTCTGGTGCTTATCACAATACCTGGCCCATTTCAGGACTCATAAATTGTTGAATGAATAAGTAATTAAATGAGGAGAAAATAAGCTGTTGTGACATTTTTTGCTCTCCACTAGAGAATGCTACATACCAAAGTAATGGAAATAGAATTATAATGTTGCAATTTGCTTAAAATTTTAAAAACACAGCTAAAATTAATGTACATGTAAGGCATTGAAAGTAGCCAAAACTTTTTCCCATCTTCTTATAGTTAAACACTCATAAAGGATTACTGAACAACTCAGAAGTTGAGAACAGGAAAGGCAAAGGAAGAACTTAGAAAACTATTTCAAACCTTCTACTGAATTCATCTGTTGGCTAAGTTTTACAAGTGTTAACATAGACATTTCAAATTACATTTTAGTCAAGTAAAAAAAAAGTAATTTTTAGCTTAATTTTTGAAATAGTTTTGAAGTTTCATTTTACACAGTGCTGCAGCTTGCATTGCTAAAGAATTGTGAGTCAGAAGGCAAAAAGGGATTCAATCAAGACATTGTACTATGATGAACTTTTCTCTCTCTCCCTCTCCATTAAAATGAAAAATGTTCCTACAATTCTATAATATTTTTAATCATTGGAAGCCTGTCCAGTATATTTACTTCCCATGATAGAGGTTAAATTGTCAGTGATTCATCAGCAAGGAGACAAAAAGGCACCAAGTAGTATATGTGCTGGACCAAAAAACCATTTCCCTTAAAAATAATGTGCCTCATTTGAATACTTAATGACGTATGTAGCCTGACTTCTCCCAATAAAAAAGAGTTCATTTTACTTGTGTGACAGGTGCATGAAGGCCCTCAGATATATAGAATTTATGGGAGCTTTGCGTCCAGAAGAAGATTGCAAAGAGAGGCCTTGCTAGTTCCCCAGTGGCAAACGTGAGAAAACCCAGTGAAACGCTCACGTTCCTCTTGTCACTTCCTTCTTACAACTCACCCCTTGCTGATGCAACTTGAATGGTTATACATAGAAAAATCTGGAACTATGCACGCCAGACTCTGAATGATGGTTGCCATTGAAAGTAGACATGAAGAAAGAAATGCAATCATTTCTTTTGTTATTAAAAAAAGCCACTAGTAATTTAAATATACAGTTTATAGACACATTAACTTTGATTTTCTCAACTATTTGGCTTGTGCAACTTACTGTATTTTGAGTCAAATACAGTATATCATACTGTGTGGTTTTAATTCTTGGGTGAGTATTAAAATATATATATGTAAACATGTATATAAACATACATATAAACATAAATATATGTGTATTGACTTTAGAGGGAGAGGAAGAAGGGGGGTGGAGAGAAAGAAAGGGAGACAGAAAAAGAAACATCGAAGTGAGAGAAGCATTGATCAGTTGCTCCCCGTAAGTGTTCTCGGCAGGGATTGAACCCACAACCTAGGTACCGCATTTTTCGGAGTATAAGATGCACCCCCCCAAATTTGGGAGGAATAATGGTTGTTAATGCTGCTGTTGAGTTCTGTTTATACTCACATTGGTGAAATATTATGTTATTTATGTTATTAAATATTTTACCACATTTTTTACTTCAAATTTTTTTCCTATTTTCCTCCTCTAAAACCTAGGTACATCTTATGGTCTGAAAAATACGGTATGTGCCCTGACTAGAGATTTAAACCGCAAACTTTGGTGCCCAAGATGATGCTCCAACCAACTAAGCCATCTGGCCAGGGCTTGACTTGATATTTTTGACAAGATATTTTAGTTTACTGAAAAATATTGTAAAATTATAAATGTTAATATTAATTTTTTCTTTTTTTACTGGCTCCTGATCCCTGTGAGGTTAAGAAAATTGAAGCTTAGACTCTCCCTATTTAGCGAATCCTCTTGGGGCAAAAGCTGCCTTCATCATTCTGTTTACTGCTTTGGGGTTTAGATGTCACTTAATTTTTACTTGAGTGTACCTCCCTGATGCTTTTATGAAGTTTTGTGGTAGTTGTTTGTTTTCACAGTTTATCTAGCAAGTTTAGTTATTTTCAGGAAGAATGTGGTCTTGGTACCTAGTCAGCCATTCTGCTGGAAATGAATCTCTCATAATTTTTGCTTGTAATATACACTTTGTATATGACATAATTTGCCAAAGCTGTGAAATGGTATAACACCCAATAGTTGCTTGTATGCTGTTCACTAGATGAACCTTCCCTTCACCAAATAGTATCCTTAGAGTTTTAGCATGTATTTTATTTGATGAATTCTTTGCAAACTGCAAATAAGTGTTGATAGCTTTTCTCCTGTTAAAGTTATGATGGTGTGACTATAGTGTGGAACTGTGTGGGGCCTTGTCTGCTTACTAAGCTATGTATCATAGCAAATTTAAATGGACTTTTTGAATACACTTTCTGCCCTTCTGCATATGTGACTTCCCTTATCACACTTTCAAACTAAAGTTGGATGGATTCACAGTTAGGCATCCTAATCTTCGTAAGGTTCTCCTGTCTTGCCTTCAGGGCAGCCTTATCCTTAATTGGCTCAAATAAGACAATAACAACAAAACTGCATTCCAGGTACTGGTCAGGAAGGTATAAATGAATCCTTGTTGTTTTTTATTACCCTTAAATTGTTCTGAGGGAAACCAATTTTTGTGGTTTATCTAAAGAGCATTTAGCCTATCCATTTTACTGAAATAAAATTTAAATCCCAAATGAAGTCAGAGTCAAATACCTGGATTAAATTGGCCTTCCCATAGAATGACCCTACCAAACTGCTCTTTGGGGTGATGCCATTGACTCATGAGTAGCCGTCCATGGAACAGCATCTCATGTTTCCATAAGAAATGTCCAGGGTGTTCTTCATACATAAGCACTGGATTTCTTCTCTGTGAATTCCAAAGGGTGAATGTCCTCCTGAGATTGCCAAGAGGATTTTGGCTATAGACACTGTGAATTTGGGACCTGATTGCATCTCCCTTTTCCTTTGGCAAGTGGGAAGCTTAGCACCTTGAGGGGCCCTCCCCTGTCAAGTGTATACAACTTTATGGAATATAATTTTGTTTATAAAAGTTACAGGTTTAAATTTACCCTCCTATCCTTACTTTTCCTTTAACTTATTCTTTCCATGTTAAAATATTTTAAAAACCATTTTGAATATTGTTGGAATATGGTGGGTATATACAAAATCATTTGATTATTATTTCAGATATTGCAAATCAGTGTATAACCATGTTTTAGAAATGAAATTACACAATTACATATTTACTTTTGCTTATATAAACATTATCAAGATCTAGAAAATTAGATTGCAGTGAAATTCACTCTCTCTAGACCCAAAGGAACAGACATGCAGAGACAGTGGAGACGACTATTATGGTTCCTGAAGACCGCAGCATGTTCCCTCGCTGGTTTGAACAGGCCGGTTTTCAAAAGTAAAATCACTCCCCTTAAATATTTTGTGGATTTCAGTAAGCTGATAAATGAGCTGTTTATTCATTGTCTGTCTGGCACCACACAATAGATTATCCATAGCAACAATCCTTTTCAAACTTAATAAGACCAGCTCTGTGTTTATTAGGAAAATAATACCACCAGGTTAAACAAGCTGACTGTTGGTTTTGTGTATTTACTCTCTTCCAAAGAGACCTGACAGACCTTCAGTGTGTTCCATGCCGTATATCATTAGGGAGGCTGCACTGGAGTGTGACTCTGTGATTCCGAATGTGCCACTTTTATGGTGTGTTTAGAATAAGAAAGATAATGAGTGAATAAAGCTTTACAAATGAAGTACTGTGTTGTGTATTGAAAACAGGGCCAAGTTCTTCTCTGAACAGTACAAATCAGATATATTATGGTAAATATTACCACTCCTTGTCTATAGAGGATAAATAGAACACTTACTTTTAGCCCAGGAAAACACATTTCAGTTTTCTTCTGTAGAAATTACACTGACATAGAATCTATAAGAAAGGTTGTGCCTCAAAAAAAAAAAAAAAAGAAAGAAAAAGATAGTTTCAGAATTAGAGATATTTTCATAAGAGGACAGATACTTTTAAAGAATTTGAATTGCTGTTGAGATGTAAATTAAACCTAGGATCTTTTCATGTCCATTATTGAGAAATGAAGTAGTATTTAAAATCAGGAAATGTTGGAGTGCATGTATTTCAATATCCTCATTTTACAGCAATGAATGCTTTTAGAAACTGCTGTAAATGCCTCGTGTCTCTCATCTAAAATGTCCTTGTGCCGTATTAAAAAAAAAGTCAAGTGAAAGTTAAGTTTCACCTTAGAAGGTATACTAATGGGAATATAATAATTATTTGCAAGGGAAGATTGATTACTAATTCCATTTTTTATAATAGTATGTAGTATATTTTTCTTTATTAGATGTTACAATGTAGATCAGTAATGGGACTTTGCATTTATGAATTGGTTGAACCGATTTTGATAAAATCTTTGCTATGTTAAATATCTCTTTTTGTCAAGTGAATTTTTTGGTAGTTTTAGCACTTAAATTACTTTTTTGTTTGTTTATATTCACAGATTCTGGAACTTCTCAAAACCTGACCCTCTTCTTGAAATAGTGGACCATCATACAGAGTTTACTTGTGGTTTAGATTTAAGTCTTCATTGTCCTACTCAGGTAATGGCTGTGTTTTCCTGATATTTTTTCTTCCCATACAGGTCACAAAAGCTCTATGTGTGGCACGTGTTGCTTTTATGAACAAAATTATTGCCTTAGGGAGGGGCAGGGTACATTTACTTAATCATCCTGATCTCTTTTGCTGTGAAGCTTCAGCATTTGAAATACTAGGGAAGGAGAGTTATTCAAAAACTTTACATAACTTCTCCCCTCTTGAAAGACCGACTTTTCTGAGAGGAGAAGGAATCTTCCCCAGAAGTATGGTGCCTCACATGTCAAAGGCTTTGAGTGGACCTCTCCCAATGGAGAGGGTGACGAGAGAAGCATGGAATGGGGAAGTATTGTCCCCAGAGGCTGGTGGGAGTCAAGAGTGTATGGTCCTCGACTCAGCTGTCCCACAGGCAGTTGAGATGATGGGCAGGTCACTTCTCTCTCAGGACGGTCACCCTTGTCCCCACACCCCATGTTGCAGGAGAGGCTTCAGATGGGGGATGACAGGAGGGAGCGTGCCCACTGCTTTAATTCATACACTTTATGTTCCCCACTTTTTGTTCTTGTGAGGACTGAAGGGTTCGCATTTTTAGGTTTTTTCTTAAGCTGTTTCAGTTTTGGAAACTCAGGTCAGATAACATACCATATGAAAACACTAACATATCAATGAAACATTATCATATACAGGAATTCTAGAATATGACTAGGAAATTATACTTTTGTGACAAATTTTAGAACTTAGACAAAAAGCAAATTCCATTTCTTCTTACTGTGTTCTTAAATTTAAATGAATACTCATTTTTTTTATTTTACAATTTTAAGACATGATTCTGAGTCTGAAATATTCTCAGCAGACATTAGAATAGTCTTATTTACATTAGAATAATGTTTTTAAAATGACAATGGCAACTAAGAAGAGGAGAAACTAAAAGAGTGATGGATGAAATGGCATTATCTTTCATGTAAATGCAGTGAGCTTTAAATGAATTAGTTTCTTTTCTGAGAAATAAATCTATTATAGATGATTGTTAATAAAATATTCATATCTGTTTGCTCTCCTATTAAAGAAAAAAGCTGTACCTATGGAAACACAGCAATACCAAACAAAGAACCCTAAATGAGTAGTTTCCTCTCCTGCATTTCCCCAACCTGTCTTCCCCAAGTCCTGGCCTATGGCCCGCGGCAGCCCAGAGGCCTCCTCAGCTCCCTCCCTCCATCCGGGCAGTTCCCCACCCAGGTCCGGAAGTGCCGGGTATTTTCTAAACCCTCCATGCCTAGACTACCTGTTAAAAGTAATTTTGTTTTCAGAGGATTTATTAATTAGATTTTCTGCTTCCTAAATAATGAGAGAATTTAGTACAAGGTCATATATTTTGTGTGTATCCTGGTGACTGCCACGCATCTCTTCCAGTTCAGCAAATTCAATTTGTATTAAGGACATAGTTGCTATTGAGGGCCAGTAGGAGTGGAGAAGTGGGGGTCTTCCAGCTCTTAATAAGCAGCAGGTTCAATGGCATAATGTACAGTTCAACTGTGCCAGAAGCCTCTACCAATTAATACATAGTGGGACAGAATCCTGGGAGTAGGAGGGGCTTTAGAAATAAGGCCACTCCCTCTCTTTCATGCAGGCTTTCCACAGATGCTTTCATTTGCCAGACCTTGTGCTAGGTCCTAGGGATTCCGTGGGGAATGACAATAAACATGGGCCCTGCCTTCATAAAGCATTCAGTCCACTGCTATATCAAATAATCTCATAAATGAATGTAAAGGACAGGGTGACATGCCTATGAGGGGGAAGTATGTCGTTCCTCAAGAGTTCGTAGTCAGGATAGATATTTGATCTACTGAAGAGATTTGTGAGGAAGTGAGGACCATCTGCGATCTGGTGAGTGGGTGTGGACTCTGTGAAGGGACCGAAGGAAGGCAGATCATAAACAGGCAAGAAGCAGCAGTATGTTACAGACCCCGTGACGGCTGGGAACGTGGATAGTGCTTGAAAATGAAAGAAATTATTTCTTTCTTATTTATGGTATACGATTCAACATCGGAATTTAAGAAAATATATTTGTTGACTTGTCATATTTTTTAGAAACAGAATGTTGAGATTATTGACTACGTTTTAGGTTTGTTTCAATGTTCATTTTTCTATATATAATTTTTTGCTATGCGTTCTAGGTCATACAAATGAAATATTGAAGATTTTTTAATTATTTGATGCATCTTTTACTATGAGTGTACTTTTAATCTTTTCAAAGTATCATTACATAGTTACCATTTCTATTAATATTCTTGACATTTGTTGGTTCATTCTTTCATTCTGTCATAATTATCAAATATCTACTTCAGCTGTGTGGGAAGAGAAATTACAGTGTAGTGTGATAAATGTTAAAGTAAAGGGAAACAAATGATGCTTTGGCTAAGTATACATACACTGATTCATGTGTGATATACATTATATTAATTATAAATATGTGTCAGATGCCTACTAAGTGTTGGGTATTGTTTTAAGTACTAAGAAAAAAGCAGCCAACAAAAACAGACTGCATTCCTGATCTCATGGAGCCTGCATATTGTGGGAGGAATCAGATAATAAGTAAGCAAACAAGGTGATTTCATATACTAGTAAATACTACTGAGAATTGGAGCAAGTTTATAGAGAAGATGGCAGAGGGGGGACCTTTGCTTGAATGGTATGGGAACAGCTCTGTCAGGAAGTGAAATTTGAGCTGAAAAACAATAATGATATGGAACCAGCCACCCAAAAATCTAAGGGAAGAAGATTTTTTTGCAGAGGAAACAACAAATGCCAGATTTGGGGGATGAACCTTCACCTCTGCCTGTCTTTTTTATGCTGTTGCAGTAACCAGAGCTGAATTATTGGAGCATCCTAATAACCAGTGTTTTGAATTCTGCATCTGACAGGTTGCTCATCTTCATTTCGTTTAGTTCTTTTTCTGGAGTTTTGTTCTGTCCTTTCATTTGGGCCATATTTCTTTGTCTTCTCAATTTGGCAGCCTCCCTGTGTTTGTTTCTGTGTGTTAGGTAGAACTACTTTGACTCCCTGTCTAGTAGCATGGCCTACTATAGAAAAGCTCACCTGTAAGTTGTGTGGGCAGAGTCTTAAGTAATCACCAGGGCAGAACAACCCATGTCACCACTCTGTGGCTCTGTGTGGGGGAGAGCTTGGAGAAGGGATAGTGCTGCTGCCTGCCCTCTGGAGATTTGCCTGGGAGGAAGCTCTCTCCTGCATTCAGCCTGTTGCCAGTCACTTCACTTTCTCCCTGTATGTCACTGGTGCGCTTCCAGCTGTTGACCTGGTGCTGAATCCCAGAGGGAGTGGGTCTGCATAAGTCCTAATACCATTGCGTGCCCTTTAAGAGGAGTCTTCTGAGAATCATGCAGTTTCTTCTGCTACTGCAATGCCCACTGATTTTTACAGCCAGAAGTTATGGGGACTTATCTTCCTGGTGCTGAATCCCTGGTCTGTGTGGTCTGTCTGGGGCTTGGATCCCTGGCTTCCAAGGTATCCCTCCCGATTTTTATCCACCACACATGAATGTGGGACTGCCTGCTCTATGTCTCTCCACCTCTCTGCACCTCTCCATGCCTCTCTGCATGTCTCCATGTCTCTGTCCCTCCTACCATCTGGATGAATGTGGCTTCTTTAAATCCTTGGTTGTTCGATTTCCATACAGCTTGATTTTCTGATGAATCTGCATGGTATTTATTTTGTAGTCTAGTTGCAGTTTTTGCTGTAGTTGTGTGAGGAGGCAAAGCATGTTTACCTATACCTCCATCTTGACCAGAAGGCTGTATTTATTTTCTTTATCCATTCATCCATCAATGAATATTTATGAGGGAGGACCAAAAATAAACACAATTATCTGTTGGTGGCAGACCCCTTGTAATACAGGCTTCTCCCGCAAAGTGAGTGTTCTAGGAATCCATCTATGTCAGTGTACCAGCTGGTGTTGTTGTGAGAGGCTGTGTTCAACTTCAGTGAATTTTTTTGAAGATTCTTTCAACACATTTGCCCATTTCATGATGGGAATTTTACAAGCACACCTGCCCACACTGCACTGAGTGTTCAGCAGTTTTTGACCAAAAACAGCATGACCCCTGTGCCCCACCCTCCCTATTCACCCTGTCTCACACTGAACAACTTCTTTTTTGTTTTCCTTGATGAAAAAAGTCCTCAAAGGGAAACGTTTTTGACGTGGAAGAGGTAAAACAAAAACTGTAGAAGCACTGAGGGGCATCAAAATTGACAAGGTCAAAAACTGTTTTGAGCAGTGGAGAAAAAAAGTCTCTATAGGTGTATTGCACCAAATGGAGAGTGCTTTGAAGGTGTCAGATGTTTAAACATGTAAGAATAAGTACACGATTTTTTAAAAGATTTTATTTATTTATTTTTGGAGAGGGAAAGGAGGGAGAAAGAGAGAGAGAAACATCAATGTACGGTTGCTGAGGGTCATGGCCTGCAACCCAGGCATGTGCCCTGACTGGGAATCCAACCTGTGACACTTTGGTTCACAGCCCGCGCTCAATCCACTGAGCTATGCCAGCCAGGGCTAAGTACACGATTTTTAAAAAATAAATTCTGTGGGTTTTTTGGTCCCCCACCCTTGTAGTTTGATCCATGTTGTGGCTATCATAAATAATGCTGGAGTCAGCATGCGGGTAGATCTACATTTTCAAATTAGTGTTTTTGATTTCTTTACATAAATACTCAAAAGTGGAATCGCTGGATCATATGGTAGTTCTATTTTTAATTTTTTGAGGCACCTCCACATCGTTTTCCACAGTGGCTGCACCAATTTTCATTCTTACCAACAGTGCGCAAGGGTTCACTTTTCTCCACATCCTTGCCATCACTTGTTGTTTCTTGTCTTTTTGACAGTAGCCATTCTGACAGGTGTGAGGTGATATCTTACTGTGATTTTGTGTTTCCCTGATGATCAGTAATGTTGAGCATCTTTTCATGTACCTGAAGGCCATCTGTATATATT